AGAGAGCATATTTCTCCTGTTTTGGCTTCCCTTCATTGGCTTCCTGTTAAATACAGAATTGAATTCAAAATCCTGCTCCTCACATACAAGGTCTTGAATAATCAGGCCGCATCTTATCTTGATGGCCTTATAGTACCATAACACCCTATTAGAGCACTTCGCTCTCGCACTGCAGGCTTACTTGTTTCCCCCGTCCCCCCTAGAGTATTTAAAAGTAGAATGGGAGGGAGAGCCTTCAGTTTTCAGGCCCCTCTTCTGTGGAACCAGCTTCCAGTTTGAATTCAGGAGACAGACACTATCTCTACTTTAAAGATTAGGCTAAAAACTTTCCTTTTTGCTAAAGCATATAGTTAGGGCTGGACCAGGTGACCCTGAATCCTCCTTAGTTATGCTGCAATAGGTGTGAGCTGCTGGGGGATTCCCATGATGCACTGAGTGTTTCTTCTTCAGTCGCCTTTCTCACTCACTATGACCTCTCTGCAATGAATCACACTTGTTATTAATCTCTGGCTCTCTTCCACAGCCATGTCTTTTATTCTGTCTTCCTTTTTTTCTAACCTAACCCTAACCGGTCGCAGCAGATGGCCCCGCCCCTCCCGGAGCCTGGTTCTCCTGGAGGTTTCTTTCTGTTAAAAGGGAGTTTTTCCTTCCCACTGTTGCCAAAGTGCTTGTTCATAGGGGGTCATATGATTGTTGTTTTGTTCTCTGTATGCATTATTGTAGGGTCTACCTTACAATATAAAGCACCTTGAGGCGACTGATGTTGTGATTTGGTGCCGTATAAATAAAATTGAATTGAATTAAATTCACATTGACTTTTCACCTTCTAAGAAATATCAGTGTTTCCTCATTTTATTCTACTAAATATTTGTGTGAATAATTACTACATTAATCTTGTTTTATGACCAAAGCTGCACTTTGTGGGTTTACAGTGACTCTGATGTTTCATGCTGAAGTTGAAGAAATTTCCCTCAAAGTATCTTTGACACCATGTCATGTTCACAAGAATGGGATGGAAGACGTGAAGACCGGTTTGGCTGTTACTGGCCTGCATAACAATGCATAACATAATTATTCAGGGAGCGAAAACACATGGGCATTACTGAAACACAAATATATATTTAGATAAAACAAAACAAAACACAAATGTTATACAGCGTGTGGAATTCTGACATTTATTTTAGTTGTCTGGTTGGTATTTACAGATGAAATATTTACAGATAATCAGACATCTTTGTTATTAAGTTGCATCACTCGTCTGATAGTGCTGTGAAAATTCCTGACAGATCCATCTGTGCCATAGAAAGGCTCTTTGCATACGCCGATCATTAATCACAAGTCCTTTCCCAGATTATGGATCTCATCCAGGACAAAGTCCAGGTCCTGCCTGCTGACCTGAGGACTGATCACAACCATCCTGAAGAAGTTGGCTTTTTCTCCAAGAGGCTGGTAGCCTGTCATCATGCTGCCTGTCTTCATCATTCGCTGTTTCACCACTGGGGCCACCTAGAGGAGCAGGGTAGAAACTGCAGTGACTTTTTACTCCATATTAATGTACCAAAAGC